CTAGGAGTAATGAAGAGAGAGAAAGGTAGGTAGGAAAGGGAGAGTAATGGGGGAGAAGTATTGAGGAAGAAGAAGAGTGAGAGAGGGAGGATGTGGGGGTAGGGGAAAGGGAAGAGAGGAGATGGGGGAGGGGAGGGCGGGTGCGGAAAGGAGGTGGGATGGTGCGGCTTAGCAATAGCACGTGTGGTAAAACGTGCTGCTAACAATAAATTAGCAGCAGCGCGCTTACCACACAAGCGCTACTGCTAACGGGGACCAACAGTGTGCCCAATTTGAAAATTAGCAGCAGCGATCTCAGAAAAAGCACGCTGCTACTAACGCTTTAGCAGTAGCGTGGGTCGAGACAACGCGCTGCTGCTGAATGTAGGTTGGCGGACACTGTCGGTCGATATTTGTAGCAGGGCGGGTTGCTCCAAGCGCACTACTGCTAACTCCGTTTCAGTAGTGAGTTTTGAAAGCACGCGCTGCTGATAATTAGCAGTAGCGCCTCTTTTTGAGCCGCGCTGCTGCTAAGATTCTGTGTATAAGGTTTTCCCTGGTAGTGGACAAATGGGCCGGAATTGTTCGATCAGAACAACCTCATTTTTCTTAGGCAGCAACGTTATCGTACCAAAGTTGAGGTGAAACAACTCCAAATGGCCGTCGAAAAAATCGTGAAACATAGGCATAAGATCATCTTTAATAATATGCCAACATTTCTTATATAATTCAGCCGGAAACCCATCTGGTCCCGGTGCTTTATTCGGCTTCATTTGGATTATGGCCTGATGAACCTCTTTTCAGTAAACGGTGTAGAGAGCTGCCTGTAATTGAGGTATATCATCAATCACATACTCATCAAGAGACACCGTGGATATATTTGGAGGTCCAAAAAGTTTTCTATAATAATTAGAGATATACGCTTTCAGATTTTCATGTCCCACTATTGTCCCCTCATCCTGTTCAAGTTGTATGATTTTCTTCTTCCTATGTTTATCATTTGCAACCATATGGAAAAATTGCGTATTGTCATCCCCTTGGACAACCTTTAGCATTTTCGCATGCAACGCCCACTTAAGCTCCTCCTCTCTCAAGAGAGCACGTAGACCTTGCTCAGCCTCGGACTTGGTTCGATGCTCATTAACAGAAAGGAGAGTGGCTTCAGCCTTTAAGTCTAGTGCCTCAATCAGTTGAGTAAGACGCTCTTTTTCCTGTTTATAAATCCCACTCTCATTTCTTGCCCAACCTCTCAGAAATTGTCGTAGATGTCTAATTTTATTTTGCCATCTCTCGACATGTGTCCTTCCCGTAACCGGCTTAGCCCATTCGCGGGCAATCATCTCCATAAATCCTTCTCGCTCAAACCAGCTTTGCTCGAAGGAGAAGATATTTTTATTTGCCACATGGGTAGCCTCACCCGAGTCTAAAAGGAGTGGTGTATAATCCGAGATCGCTCTTTGCATCGCATGGACCGACACCAACGGATACTTTTGCTCCCACTCAACACTAGCAAGAACCCTATGCAGCTTTTCATAAGTCGGAATAGGTAAGGAGTTGTCCCATGTAAATTGTCTACCGGTGAGCTCTATTTCTCTTAAATTGAGTCTCTCGGTAATCATGTTAAACATCATAGACCAACGTCCATCAAAATTGTCATT